CCAAGGGAGGGGCCAAGCCCAACGAGGGGCGCGCTGGAAGCGGGTGGTCGGGAGCGCCGGCTCCAGCCTCGCTGCGCCTCTCACGCGCGATGTCACCTTTTCTCTTGCAGGCGCTGCAGCTGTGCTGCCTCTGCTGTGCGTCGGTCGCCGCAGCCTTAGCCAGTGACAGCAGCAGCGGTGGCAGCGGACTAAATGATGGTTCGTATTTGCTGGCGCCCTCACCCCTTGTCCAGGCACTTGGTCTCTCTTTCCCCCAGAAGAGAGGAAAGACAGAAAAGCACACCCCTAACCTGGCAGGTGTATGCTATCGTGGAAATAGCTCCTGCTCGGAGAGGGACCTTAAGGAGCGGACTCTGAACCTACAGGAGTCGATGCCTCAGTCTGACAGTCATATAGATGAGAAATGACCCCTTCCTTACCCCATGGCTTGTTAGGAAAAAAAACATCTTTAACTGTGGTGAGAAATCAGGAAAGAAGTGGGTATAGTCTAGGGATTAGCAACCCAAAGCTCCTTCCTTCCTTCCTTCCTCTCTGGGAAAGCCCACAGAAACTCCTTCTGGGTGAGAGATGGAAGGATGCGAGCCCTTCCTCAACCACGCTCCTCTCCACCTCTGTTCCTTTCCTTGCATCCCTGCTTGGCTGCCCCTGTGGTCCTGGGGACCCAAAGACTGCTTTTGGAGAGGAGAGCTGGTAGCTTGAGCTCTCTGAGCCACAAAATTCCACAACATCCCTCTCTTCTGTCGTTTATTAACTTCTCGGGGCAGGGAGAAGCCCTTGTTTTCATTGTTTGCCTCCAGCTAGGGAATAGCTGACTCCTGACCTGAGGTATCCAGTGAGACCTGGCTGTCTAGCCTGGGCTCCTTGGGTTTCTATGATCTGGGGCTCGGGAGGGTTATCTCCTTCTGTTGGGTTTATATTAGCAATTGGGAGATGGTTGGATTTTGAGAAGGGCTGTGGAGAAGTGAGCGGGAGGATAAGGAACCCCCTGAAATTAGCTCATGAGAAGCTCAGCGCTCAACCAGAGAGGCTGCAGTTTCTAAAACCACCCCTCATTGTTTATCAAATGCTGGGCGACCCCTTCCTTCTGTCCCAACCGCTACCTGTAAGGACCTCATTTTGAGTCAGCTCTTGAGTTGATTGATCAGATCATTCCTTACAGGGGGCCATGACTGACCCCCTTCCGCTCAAGGACTGGATGTAACCAATAGGCAGCTTTTCCTCCCCTGGAAACAAACAAGTAGCAGGTGTCTGTGGGAGGAGGGGGCTTTGTTGGCTGCTTCACTGGACGTCGCCTGCAGACGGCTCTCACGTGGCTCCCAACCAAAAGCAGGCAGAGCTTGTCATGATGTTGGATGAGGAGGTAAGCCAAAACATGCTGTAGAACCTGGAGCATCTGCCTGGGATGGTTTTCACAGTTACATTTTAGTTTGATAGAGGAAAGAGGTAGGTGTTTCTCTCAGGAAAACATGCCTGTAATGGAGCCACATACCTGTAAAGCAGGGGATCAGAGACTTTCAAGAGGAGCATTGTATGTCTTGCTCAGCTTTTTAAGATCAAGAGAAGGGGGAAAATCCAATTCTTTTAAAAATTGTGTATGTCATTATATAGCATTTCTAGTCGAGGGAGAAACTTCAGATAGGAGAGGCAGGACAGAAAAACTTAAGAACGAGAGTTGCCTAAGCAGTGAGAGTCGCAGGTGGTTCATATACAGACGAGAACAGTTGAAAATTATTGTCCTATTGGACTTTTTCTCCAAACATGAGTCTAATTAGCATCACTCATCCATCCCTCTTAGCTAGAACTTATTCATTCCTTAGCTTTTTTTCCTTTGGGCGGGGGAGGGGGCGGTGCTGCTGCTGTTGCAGTGGTATGTATTGACTGTTTTGGGAAAAGGGAAATTCCTTTTTCTCCCTCCCCCACATAACAAAGGACCCAGGTGACTCAAACATGCCTCATAGTTTTTTTTAAAGTCTTTCCAAACATTTCCCCAATTACTTTCCCATTCTGTGCCTGGAAAGTGGAAATGCTGCGTGTTTCTAATGTGCCGAGGGCTGAGTCCCAGTCATTTCAGGGGATGCTGCTTTTCTGTTGCAGTGTTTTGTGAAAGAAAACGGCCTGCTGTTTCCCTCTCCCAACAGCAAGTGGGTTTTCATCTCCTTCTGAACACGCTGCAGTTCGTGCTGCTCCAGGGAGCAAGGCAGAGGTATTTTTAAACATGCCTCTCCGGTGTTCTCTCCCTGGACACGCCCCCACTGACATGTCTGAGCAGTTTTACACATCAGGCCACGTGGGAAGGTTCTGATGATTTGGGGGCATTTTTATGCATGTGCTATATTTTGTGCTTACAGTGAAGCAGGGTTGTCCCTGAGAAAGCCTATAGTTAGACAGGATAAGGGTGATGCCTGTGCCAAGTTCCATTAGTACCCGTAAATGGCATCTGGAACATGAAACTCTGACATGTCTGTGATCTGAGGCATTATCTGAAGGTACCCAAGACTGTGAATTACCATTCGATGTGTGAACTCTGCCAAAAAATAAAAAGTATGCTCCCAACTCAGTCTAAGCACAATGATCTCAATCTTCTCGAAGAAGCATTCTTATTTATTGACTTTTGTGGTTTCCTATATATTAATTTTGTCTCCAAAAAATAAAACATGACATATGGATGGCTCCATGGCTCATATATAAAACGTCTATCTCCCTCCAGCCTGTGAGAGTTGGGACCTTTTCCACAGACATCAGAGTCGTGCTTGGCTTTCAGAGTCTGTAGGAGTCATTGCAGTGGAGGTTATTGTAGAGGTGAAGGGACCATCCTCTTTACGAGTGGCTCTGTATTATGCTGGTCTCAGGGCCTTGCAGTAAGAACGACGACCTCTGTGAGCTGTGCATTGGCTGCTCTGCTAACCTGTTCGACACCAGGGGCCCTAAACTCAACTTTTCCCGTTGCAGGTTACGTCTTTGTCACGCCGGTAGAAGTGGACTCAGGCGGGTCGTATATTTCACACGACATTTTGCACAACGGCAGGAAAAAGCGATCGGCACAGAGCGCCGGGAACTCCCTGCACTACCGGTTTTCAGCATTTGGACAGGAACTACACTTAGAACTTAAGCCCTCGGCAATTTTGAGCAGTCACTTTATTGTCCAGGTACTTGGGGAAAATGGTGCTTCAGAGACTCGGGAACCCGAGGTCGAGCGATGTTTCTATCAGGGATTTATCAGAAACGACAGCTTCTCCTCTGTCGCTGTGTCTACGTGTGCTGGCTTGGTAAGTACCCCCCAGGATGAGTCAAACTCTCTCTTCTGTGTGTTGTAGAAGTTGAGTGAGCAGATGTCTACAATATTAAGTGTTCTTCTAGTCAACTCCACACGTTCGCAGTGTCCGCTTTGGTACTTACAGTATTCTCAATTGAGTTAATCTAATCTGCTCCCAGAAAAAGAAAACATAATAGAACTTTAATTACCATTTAGAACATTCTTTTGATGTTTAATGGTCTGGGCCTTTTCATTCTCCATGATTGAGACCAATCCCCAAGGAAATTAATTTGATGGATGCCATTCGCTTTGTGAAGTCTTAGGAGACCAGCCATTCTATAAATCTAACAAGCTGCATGCGTCTGCATTGCTTTGAAATGAGAAAACTGCATTTCTATGCAAAATTGGTAAGCCCAACTTTCACTTTACTGAAGGGTAGGCCTTTTGTTTCAACTAACCTGTTGGTGTTGTCTTGCTCACATAAGACATCGTTTTAGAGTGTGGTGTAGTGTGTTCGAGGGCTGGCAGGATGACGTATAGCAGCCAGGAAGACAGGACACTTGAAAGCATTTGGGACCAAGTGTTCTTTCCTCTCTGTGTAATCCTCGTTTCTTAATTGCCAGGCAAAGAAGATCAGTGTAAATGACACTACTCTCAGAATTCAATCACATGTACAAGGTGGGACACAGCCTTCGGGCTTGATGTCATTCTGCATGGCAAGTGATAAGTGTCTTTAAGTGGCAGAAGAGTGTGTGTGTGTTGGGACACATGGCGATCATGATATGGAATAGACAGGAAGCCCTCTGAGAGCGTAGTTAGTATCGTGTAATGCATCATGGCTGACCGCATCGGAGCACAAAACAAGGGGGAGTGGCTTAGGAGGGCGTGAATGGGGATCTGCATGTTCTTCGCTATGCCAAACCTCCAGTTATTTATGTATTAGGTTTTTGCCAGAGGGTGTGTGAGCTCTCTAAAGAGTAAGACAGTGAATGGGAAAGTGATAACTCATTCCCCAAGGGTGATGGCCATGTTGCAATCTATCTCCTCCATTCTGCTTTTCTCTCAGGATTTTGGGCATGTACACACACATGCCTGGCGTGATTTTCAAGCTGCTAGGTCTGGGACTGGAAATGTGGTTGACCATGTGAGAATGCAGTGCCTTAACCATCACACCACCTGCTGGCCCCTCTTTTGTTTTTTTTTTTTTTTTTTTTTTTTTTTATCCATTCTGTGGCCTGAAATTTAGCTAAAACTTTTCATCACAACCAGTCATGATATTCTTTGGTCTCTTTAAAGTCCAGAGTGAAGCAAAAACTTAACAATTCCCATTGATAGTTGATCCATTTTGGTGATGACTATGGTTCACTAGCAATCTATGTATCATAACATGATTATATATATGTGTGTGTGCATACACACATGACTATCTTGGCTTTTTGTCTTTATTAGTGAATCTCTTTCTTTGGCCTCGCCTTTGCAGTTCTTTCTCTTCTATCTCAGTCTTCAGAAGGCGCTTAGGTGTCCCACTGGAGTGATTTAAACCTTCACATTCCTACAAACCAGATTGTTAGAAGCATTCTGCCTGGGTTCTAATTCTTCCACCAGCACTTACTTAAAGTCCTTAGAAAAGTTACTTAACCTCTTTATACCTTAGTTTCTTCGTCTATTAAAATGGGAATAACAAGAGAGTTGACCTCACAGGACTGTGGAAATTAAACAGCTTTTTCTGTGGAAAATAATACAACAGTTCCTGATGGGCAGTTATTGCTCTGTAGATGGTCTAGTTCCAGCAAGTTCAGCTTTCTCTGGATTCCATTGTCTGTGAGTGGCAGGAAATCTGATCAATTGCCTCATATCAATAGATGTTGGGTTATTTCCTTTAAGGAAGAGATTCTATTTTGAATGGAGAGCAAAGGACCACTTAACACATGAGAATGATATTTTTCTATGCAAAAAATGTGTTGTGACTTTCCCCACGACCTAATAATTCCCTCTTTGTGATGGTAGAAGAAGTAATCAGAGTAGTGGGAGCAATAGGCAGCCTGCTTTGCCTGAGTCTGAGGTGGATCCTACTAGGGTTGTGAGAGTCAGGTGGTCCCCACCTTTCAACACACGGGACGTATATACTTAGTTAAGGTTACCTCTCTAAACCTCAGTTTGCTCTCAGGAACCAGTGAGGTGATTTCCAAGATTGCTATAGCATCTGACCCTGATTTCCCCGTGTGTTGACCTTGAAGGACCCACTTGGTAAGGGGCAGGGAGAGAGTTGTTCCCCTCCCCCATCATGCCCTGCCAAACAGACACTGCAAAACACACACACATTTATTCATACTCAGTAAAACAATAAGGAAAAATAAGAAAGAACAGGATTACAACCAACAAGCTAAGATAATGTTCTCTCTTAATTTGTATACCCTTGTTTTGAAATGGAATGCATATACAGAAAAGCGTAAAAATCCTAAGAACACAGCTTAATAAGTTTTTACCAAATTCTCATTCCTGTAACCACCAGCTGGATCAAGCTGGACATTATTAGTTCCCCAGGAGAATCCCCTTGTCCTCTTCTCCATCACTATGCCCCCAGAAGTCATTTGTATCCTAACTTCTAACATAATTTAATTCTGCCTATTTAAAGTGTATGTAAATAACATCATAGCAGATTTCTCTGCATGAAGACACTGCAAGAAGATTTCCATCTAATTGTTGATCAAATTGTTTCCCGTTTGGAACTGTTATGATGAATTTTGTTGAACATTCTTGCTTATGACTTTTGGTGAATGTACAGACTTACTCTGTTGGACACAAATGAGAGAATAAAGTCACTGGGTGGTAGGGTATGCATATGTTCAGCTTTGGTAACTACTGGCAAACAGCTTTCAGACCGGTCATATTGGTTTACTCTTCCATCCCCAGTGTGTGAGAGGTATGATTGCCCCTGACCCTCACCCACATTTGATACTGTCTACTTTTCCACGAGAGCCAGATTGATTAATGGGTCTGAAGTAGTGCCACATTATGGATTTTGTGTGCGTTTTTCTGGTGGTTACTAAAGTCGAGCGCCATTTCTTTTTTTTTTTCTTTTTTTGGAGAGATTTTTGCTATAGGGTGCGTGCGCTCACCAGAAAGACAGAGACAGAGAGACAGAAAATGAGAGATCACACCCCAGGGGGGATGGCCATGCCGCAATCCCTTCTCCTCCCTTCTCCTTTTGGGATCTTGGACATGCATGCACACACGCCTGGCGTGAGTTTAAGCCACTGGGTCGGGGACCCGAACCACAGTCGACTACGTGGGAGTCCAGTAACATAGCCATTTCACTAATTGCTGGTCCCATCGAGTGCCATTTCTTAAGCTATTGGCTATTTGTACACACCCTTTTGTGATCTATCTATAGCCTCTATGAACAAAAAATGTTTTCAGCCTAAATTGTGATGTTTATTCCTTCCTCTGAATAGAAACAAAACTTCTGAGCAAAGAAATCTTTGCCAACTTAACCTCTTTGTTATTATGATTATGCATCTCTAATGATGTATGTATTTACTTATGAAACAGTATCAAATAGAAGTTGTGAAAGTTGTGAGTCTTGTGAGATCACTTGAAGTAACAATTTGAGGGGATACTTCATTAAAGGCACTTTAAGATAGAGAGATGAAGCCTAGGTCAAGAAGAAGAATTTCTTCAATCCTTCTAGCTACCCATAGGCATTACTCAGCTTGTTTAACTAAGCAAGAGATTCCTAACCCCTTTAAAATTAATTAACAGGTACAGTAATGGATTTAGAATAGTCAGTGATTCAACAGTATGGCGGCAGGGGGAACAAATCTCAAACATGCCTGTCAGACTTACCAGAGTTCACCTGCCAGGAGAGATGGGCAAGTTGTCTTCCATTAATACAGAGACGAGGTGAGATGATCAAGGCAGAGAGATGGAACTTCACTTACCTTCTGTACCAGTTTCTTTAAGAGCAGGGCTGGACCACTCCTCAGTTTCCCTATAGAGGCGAGAGCAGTCTCCCACTGTGCATGCAGCATATATTAAAGTAATAAGTGATCTTTCAATGCTGACCATTAGCTTGACAGCTGGGGAAACCCCAGAAGAAAGTGAGTGAAGGTAGAAGGATTATAATAATAAAATACATATATACATACATTCACGTAGGCATGTGTATAGACTCCAGCTAGAATTTTTCTGGCAGGGAATTCTCCCTTTAATAATCTGGAATTAACCTATACTTGAAATATTTGTAGTATTTTACACATTGCACCCCACACACATACACAACTGACAGGTCTCACTGTATTCAGGAGTTAAGTTGATCGTTACTTACTTGAAATATTTTATAAATCATGAGTTGCAAACTTCCCTGAGTGAATTCTGCCCACTCTTATGTTTGAGGGTGATTATTTTCACAATTTGGGATGTCTTCATCCTATGCCCCTAGGAGAGCTCACTACTGCCCCCACTGGAGGCCTCGTACTCTATGAAGGTATTTTGGTTTGCAGCCTTTATCCCAGAATCTTCTGGTAAGGGATGAACAAGCTGTTCCCTGCTAGGTATTTCCTTTCTGTCACGTCCAGCCTCCACCAGCGGCCACAGTGATGCAAAGGTCATAAGAGCCAGCAAACTGTGACACCAAGGGAGACTCCATCTTGGTGTTAAACCGTAAACAGCTTTCTTGGGATTTCCACCTGTTTAAATTTTTTTTTAAGAGATTTTTTCCATAGGGTGCATGCATGTGCATGCTCACCAGGGAAATAGAAAGAAAGCAAGAAATCACCCCCAGGGGGGATGGCTATGCTGCAATCCCTTCTCCTCCATACTTCTCTCAGAATTTCAGGCACGCACTCACACACACCTGACATGAGTTTCAAGCTACAGGTCCAGTACTCAAACCCCAGTCAACTATGTGGGAATCCAGTGACATAACCATTACACTCTCTGCTAGTCCTGTTTAATTTTGTTTTCTAATAGAGCAAAACTCTGTCTTCCTGCATGCTAGGATATTTTAAAAAC